GGCCCAATTTGGAGTATTCTCCTCTAGGATCCTCATATAGAATATATTGGACTCTAGATTAGAGACAACTACAGTCCCAGCTAAGTAAAAGTCATGGAATAAAATCGTTATTTTTGGAAAGGACAAAGAAAAGAGATGGTTTCCAGCCAGGAGTCACCTTCATTATCAAGACTATTCTGTAATAGCAGGTTTTTTATCCAGAGATTCTGAAAAGAATTACTGAATTAATGAGAGAGAACTTTCTTAGGATGTTCCAATCCTTCCCCACCACCCATTTAAAAAAAAGAGTCAAGGAATAATTTAATCTCTACATTCTGAATTTTGGATACGAAGCGAGATGAGTTTAGCACTTTCAATATTAACATTTACTCATTAAGAACTCAACTCAACCAACTCTGTCCCCTCAAGCATGCCTGAGAAAATGTGGCTGGCAGTAAAACGGCTTTCTTGGTTAAATCTGGCCAAGAATGACAAAAGAATCTGAAAGGCTCTTGTCATAGTTGCCTTAAATGGAAACTAGGTAAACCAAATTCAGCATTTGTAGTCCTGATGTACTGCCCACATGTTGACTGTATTATTAGAAAGCAGGGACAATTTTACTTGAGAGTTCATGGCAATAACTAGTACCTTTAAAATTGGAGCTTTTCAGACTCCAAGGAACATATGACACTCCAGGTTTGGGAAGTCTGTCCCAGTATTTGCATTTGTAATTCAGTCTTGCCTAGCAAGTCTCACTGACTCTAACTTGATGAGGCTTTCTGCATTCCCTGCCCTTTAAACAGGCTTGATTAAAATTTCATTAGTTCTTAAATAATGCGCCCTGTTTTTTTATTTTTTTAACAGTATAGAGGTCTATTCATATCATTCTTCTCACCCCTGATTAAATTAAAGTTCAGCAACCTTTATGAAAGGCCACCAGCATAATATTCCTTCAAGTCACCAGGAATTTGAGAACCACCAAAGTAAAGGCTAACATAGCCTACTGTAATGAAAAACAAAAATCATTCCAAAAGGGAAATTGAAGGAAGCAACCAGGATTGATCCTTCTTTGAGCACCATTTGTAACATGAAGATTAAGGTGTAATGCACATAAGATTCCAGTCATCAGATTTTCTTTCTTCTGAAGCATCCTATCTGCAAGCGTGCTGATAGGCCCAGGTGTGCCCACCTAGCTATGTTATCTTTTGTGACACAACCTTAGAATTATTGCATGGTTTTTCTCTACAGTTTCAATTTTGAGGCATTTGCTATTTTCAACAAAGGTGATATGTTTAATGCATAATGTATACATAAGCTTTGATATGTATAAGCCTTTTCATATAAAAATACATAGCCAGCCTTAAATGTGGAGATGGGAAAAGATGTGTGGAAATCCTACGTGTCGTTTGTGTGTGTAATTCATTATGTGCTTGGCACTACACTCTGTGCACTGGGCGTCTTACCAATTCAGCACATCTCGGCTCACTTAGGGACCCTGGTTATCATTAAATCTGGTGAGGAGATAACTCCTGACATCCTACAGCAATGGTTATGATTGTCAACTTGCTGCAGTGCAATATACAACTCTTTCCTAAGAGAATTAAAATTACATCTCACTGTTGGGCCTCACTGATTTGCTTAGCATTGTTTAATTCCCAGTGGTAATATTCCAAATGAGAAAAGAACATGCTAGCTAGTATCCCAGAGAAGATTTACTCAGAGAATGACATAAAATGAAACTTTAGAGATTTAAAGGACATGAGAAGTGTGTCAGATCTTGTTCTCATGTACAATTACCATCTTTCCCCCATACACAGGTTGTTTTGGGGACTATGTGTCTTGTGAGCTTATGACAGGTAAATCTGGCACAAAAGGTCCTTGAATCCACGGACTGATAAAATTAGGGACACTGCTTTGAATGACAAAGATGACAATATAAGTTTCAAGTTGCTTAGGGTTGTTGAACAAAACTTTGCATTTTTTTGTGGGTGTGAAGGAGAAAGATATAAGAATAATACTCTGATTCTGAAAAAAATTAAATGAATTTAAATACAATATTTGCAAAGGTCGATGAGTAGGGATTAATTGCTAATCCTTAAAACACTTAGAAATGTAGTTTAAATGAAACCTATTTGGGCATTTTAATGAGAGACACAAGTGTAAGTAACTCCTAAGAGTTATTTTTGAGCAAATATTTAAGAAACATTGCACCTATTATCACCTATTTGAGAGTGGCTAATGATGGGTCAAACTGGGTGACAGGTGATTAGAGAGGGGTTGTGAATCACAAGACAATAGAGAAAGCCTTCTTTAATTGAGCTTCATTGCATATGTACCATTCACAACACAGCATCTGGATATGTGGGCTCTAGTCCTTGCTCTGCTTCCAGGGAGCCAATGGAATCATCTCTCTAGACCCCTGCAAACACCTACTTTCATTTCTACTTACAGCGCCCTCTCCAGGATATCAAGGGAAATTACTTTCTCTTTCACATGTCTACAAAGAAAGGATGATAAACACTCCACTGGACCTGGGGTTTCTGATTTCCACTAGCCTCAGCCAATTGCCTGCAGTAATTGGAACACAATTCTGTAATGAACTTTTCTTCTAAAACAAAGCTAGAAATTAATGTTTGAAATGTAAAAGAGTTTAGGGAGAGAAAGAAACTAAAGTGTTTATTGTTCATTCTGCATAATAGGTAGCAGGACCTAATAATCTCTCTAGTCCCTGTTCTCATTTGCCTCTTCCAGGTAGAAGCCAGCGTTTGATATCAGAACTCTCCATGTTTTATAATGGAGCTAAGGGATATGGTTTGTGGGTTTTTTGTGTTTGTTCTTGAAGTTTTACAATAAGCATTAAGCTCAAGACAGCATTTGCAGGGATAGAAATATTCTTTTAAACAGAAGCACAACTAAATTTCTCTACACATTTAAAAATTAAAATGAAATAAAACAGATTCACACTTGTTTGTTTCTGATTATTTTGTTTGCCAGAATCTTGCTCAAAACATTGTTTGACCAAAAAATGGTATTAGGGTTCCCATGGCTAGGCAGAACCTCAGTTATTTCACACCAATTCTCTTGTTCGATGTGTGAACTTAAACATTATTACTTCTTTCTCAATAGAGAAACTTGCCAACTTCAAGGTCGTCAAAATATTAAAAAGCTCATTTTACAAATAATCTGATGCTCCCAGTACACCCATTTTTCTTTGGTTTTTAAACCAAAGCCTTTCCTTAGTTCTAATCAGATATATGTCAGTGCTTAAGTCTAGCCCACACCCCTGGAAAGCATTGGTATCTGTTGTGGGTCACCATTTCCATTTTAATAACATGCTGCTGTGTTGTATGGATGGCTCCTTGTGCAAACTGAACATTTCTTTATTATACTAGAATTTTCTTGCTATTAACTCCCCCCACCCCCAATGAAAAGAAGATTACCATACTTATATATCTCAAACATAAAGTTTTCAGTTACAACTGCCTACCTGGAAGTCATAATACTTTCTCTCATGCAGCAACATTTTGGTGATAAAAGCTTAAGTGGATTTAAAAATTCAAATTGGGAAACAATTTGCACGGATATAGTTGACTAATGAACTTGTTATATGTATGCCCAGTTATTTCTTGACACTGGGTCGAGTGACTTTGTTTCCCATGAAGTCTGAGCTTTCCCAACTACAGAAAACCCTGCATGACGGATGGCAAGATGTCTGTGGAAGAGGAGTAGCAGCTTTGAAATATTCACAACCAACACAATTTTGATTAAAGAAAGAACTCTGTTTTTTAATAGTTTTGATCATTAAAAAAGTTTAAACCTGCATAGCAATCATTTCAAAAATAATTATTTAATGTTCCATAATTAAACTGTACATAACCTAGTCTTGGGACACAGAAGCCAGTGAGGAGTGGAGCTGTCCAGTGCAGTCCCAGCAGCCAGGAGTTGAGTTCTCATTGGCCTTTTTTTTTTGTCATTCCATTCATCTAAGTTTATTTGGATACTTGGCACAATCTGGCTCTGCTGACGAGTGGATGAATCTGCACAGGGAAGAGAGAGCAGCTGGACCCCCCTCGGTAGGATTCCTCAAAGTCGTTCAATGTCTCGGTATTTCTTCCTCAGAATAGAGACCTGGTCTTTAAAGAGGACGGGGTCAAGCCTCATCTGAGAGTGGATCAGCGGCATGTAGCCAAACCAGCTGGCAAACGTATTCATGCAGCTCTGTCGTTGGGCAAAGTGGTCAGGGTCAGCCCAACGGGAAGCCCGAGAAGTCTAGGGAGAAGGAGAGAAACCAGGACAGTGAGACAAGGGCAAGGTGAGGTGGGAACACTTTAGAAACTGAGTCAGGCAAGTGGCAATTAGAACTTGAACCTGGCCACCAAGCCTCACCATCCATGTGGGTGGCAAATAAGCAAGGCTCGTGGATGTTGGTTTTATTCTCACCAAAAGATGTTCCTAAGAGAGATGGACTTCACCACTGTTAAGTACACACCCAATCCTTTGAAGTCTTCTGAGATGACTAATACTCTGGTCAGTGAATGATGAACCTTACTAACTGAACCTCTGTGGTCACTAAATATAAGTCTTTTTTTTGCATTTGGGAACAAATACTATGACTAATAATGTATTCCTGCTTTCAAGGTTTTCTAAATCCTTCTTGCTCTCTTGGTTGATTTGGAGATATCAATAATCAACTGTCAGAAGTCCATCCTTTTGTCTCTTCATCCCTTTTTCCCTTCTATCTCTCTATCATTATAAAGTTCCCACTGAATCTTTCGTTTAAAAGTTACATGTACAGATGAAGAAAAACAAAACCCTTATACTTCATTCAAGGTTAGTATTATATAGCAGGTAAAAATCTGTTTTCCCTTCTATGGACATCTCCACTGAGATGACTCCATGAAGCGTAAAGAGGTGGATTCAGATTCAGTGACACATAGGGTCTACTGATATAAGATCTACTGATATAGTAAAATCTCAACAACCTAAGAAGTATTGCCTTTATTACTTCACTGAAATGCCCAAAGATTACTTTTTAAAGGGCAATTAGCCCTTTTATTCTATTCACCCAGACTAGAAAAGAGTAAAAGAGTTATTCTAGACAAGTAAAAAGATAGCTACCATCTTTTTAGCTCTCTATGTTGCCCTTACGGTTATTTAAATATTTTTAGACCATGTAAATGATTGGCATTGATTTCAAAGAAAGCCTTAAGTGACTTGAGTGCTGAAAGGCAAATAAGCGTATTATCTTCAAAAACTATGTTTTTATGAAAAAAGGAAAAGATGGCTGCTCAATTATGCTACAAACCCATTTAGATAAATAAGCAACTGTTTAAGGTCTATGTGTGTGTGTACTCAGTTATTTGTAGCATCACACACTGTTAGAAATGTACTTTCATGGAAAGGCACAATTTCAGTGTGAGAACCACTCAGAGTCACTTTAAAACTGCTGAGTGTCAACATGCTTGAAAATAACATCAGAGATAAATACAAATGTCAAGTTACCTCTGAGCAGCAGAATAACAAAGCACATTTGTAAAGTGTTTTCATGAAGCTCATTTGAGCCTCCCAACAACTAGGTGAAGTATCTCCCCAAATCACAACATCCCCACTTCACAGACAAGCAGGCAGGTTTACAGAAGTTATAGTTGTTCGTTGAAGACTAGAAAGGGGCAGAACTCAGGCTTCATACTTTAGTGTTTGTAGTAGGAGAACTCTTCCTGGTAAATCAGAGATGGGTAACATATTAATCTGTCCAGTTGAGTTCATATCAGAAGAGATATGATACTAAGAGAAGTATCTTAGGTATCTGTTTTGTTCCTAATTGATGTGGGTTGTGGGACATTTCTGATTGGCCCACTCATTCCCAATGGGCTAGACCCCTCCAGGCAAAAGTGCCCATGTAGGCAAATGGAAATACTGTTGAAAGTTCCAGCTCGTTGTTGACCGCCCCCGACCCCAAAAAAGTCAAGTGGAATCACTCAAGCATCATTTTTTTCTCTGGATTTTAATATTTATTTTGAGTAAAGGAACAAATACTAGAAAAGATGACTTTCCTGGACAATAAGAGCATAAGCTTAGAGCATGACATCCACTTGCCTTGCCAGTTACACAAACTAATGGATATGATGCAAGGAAAGGGCAAACTAATTATATTTAGTTAGTTAGACCCATGGGTTCAATTTAGATTTGTCCCTTCCAAGTGTGAGAAATTACTAGAATTATTGATTTGATAGAATTAGGAAAATTTATGAAAAGGCCACAAACAATCCATAAGAAATCATGTCTTACTGGAGTTGCACCTGTGATTAGTGTATAACTTCTGGAAATTCGAAGAATACTGTTAGCGAACAACATTAGAGAACTTCTGTCTGGGTATGTAGCGGATGATACATACTGCTTAAATTCGAATCATTCTTCTGGTCTTAAAGATTACAAATTCCTGCAAATCCTCTTGCCAGTTCGTTCAATAATTAGAGGGAAGTAATTATTTCCCTTTGATTACAAAGAACAGCTCTTATGTCATAACCGGTGCCTAGAGCAGTGCCTGATAATTATACATGCTCAGTAAATACTGGATGACTAAATTTTATAAATTTAAAATCTTGTCAATTTTTGCTCTTACTAAGTTTGAGGAATGAAAAAAACATCACTTAGGTTAACATGAGGGTAGCTGTGTTTTCCCTTGCAAAACCAGAATTTGCATGATTTACACCTGTTAGAACAAGGCAATGGAAACTCTCAAATAATTGAACTGATGCAATCATGTTAAAGAATGTTCACTGAGGTTGACTTCAATCCTGTGGGGTCCCCCATGATTTAACTTGGGTAGAGTTAATGGTTTTACTTGTAGCTTTTGATTTCTTACACATGGTATTAGCGCTACTCAAGAGGAATAAGGTAGAACTTTGGTATATTCAAATGGGCCTAATACTAGGAGCCTGAGGTGTAGGAGAACAGCTGTGGAGTAGGCAGAGTATAGGATTCATCTCGTACTTCTGTCTCTAACCTACTGAGTGACTCGTGATGAAGTACTTAAATTCTGTAGGTCTTAGTTTTCTAACTTGTAAATAGAGAAAAGTTGGATATTTCCTTGAAAGTATCTGGAATATTAAAATTTTATGGCCCAACAAAATATTTTAATTTACTTTTATAAAAGCTTTCATATATATTATCTCAACCCTGTGAGAATGATTTCACTATCTACAATTTAAAGATGTAGTGAATTTCAGAAGGTAACTGACTTGCCCACAGCTTACAAATGCTGGTTCTAGAATTGAAAACCCAGTATTGTGACTCCTGGTTTTTCACTATTCACCCAACTTAAGAGCAACCACCAAAAAGAAGGCTGTGTTGAAAAGAGTATTGTTTGCTAGTCATTAAATAAGGCACATATAATAAGCTCACACAAATTTGTTGTAGGTCTTTAACACTGCTATGGACTAAATGTTGATATACCCCAAAATTTACATTTTGAAGCTTAATTCCCAAAGTGATGATATGAAGGGTGAGGTGTAAGATCATGAGGATGGAGTCCTCAAGAATGGTAGTAGAGCCCTTTAAATAGGGACCCCAGAGAGCTCTCCTGCCCTTCTTTTGACCACATGAGAATACAGCATGCGGATGGCTATCTACGAATCAGGAAGCAGGTCCTCACTAATACTAAATCTGCTGATGTCTTGATTTTTGAATCTCCAGCCTTGAGAAGTATGAGAAACCAATGTTTGTCATTTAAGCTACTCAGTCTATGGTGTTTTTGTTATCACAGTCCAATAGGAGTAAGAAAAACTCTGAGGAACTATCTTTCTTGTGTTACTTTATATGTTGCATGAGAGCTCTATATTCTTGGCAAAAATACACTCTTACTTGTATCTTCCTAATTACCAGAGTGCCAATCATTCATTTCTTCAGAGGTTTCAGATGTGGTGCACTTCTGTGTCTCCTCATCAAACTCCTAGATAGAGTACCTGGAGGAACACAAGTCCTCAACACGGTGGGTGAACCAGCAGTGAGCGAAACGAGGAAATAATGTTCTCTTACTCTTACCTGTCCCATCATTGTCTCCTTGTACTGTTTTTTCTGGGTCACTTTGATTGGAGGCAATTTTGTCACAGCAGACACCAGGAAATTCATGAGAATGTCCTCACAATTGGCCAGTTGGTCCACCATGTTCTTCAGGCTGGCTGGCAGGTAATGGGAGTACAGGTAGTGATAATATCTGTAAAAAGCCAATGAGAGGTTTCACAGAGCACATCATTAAAAATGGCAAGTAGACTTTAAACATACAATCATTCTTTGAATCCCTACACGTGCCATTGATAGCACTGATAATAATAGTGATCACCTATATGGTATCTGCTATATGCAGATAATATTCTAAAGTATTTTACAAGAAATGACTCATCTAATAGTCACAAGGAATCCATGGGGCAGGTGATATTATTATTTCCATGTTACAGACAAGGTAACACAGCAAACAGATACACACAAATGCTGTTACTGCTTGCCTGTCTAAATTTAATATCCGGCTTGTCAGTTAGAAGGAGAATACTTAGATAGCAAGAGAAGTTACTTACAAATGATACAGATCATTTAAATGAATTAGATTCACCGTGTAGTGGTGGCAGGTGAAAGGGGAACGGAGAACTTTTAAGAGGTGAAATCTCGAGATTCATATTTAGTCAGCCTAAATAGTTATAATTGGGCATTTGCAACCCTATCCCTGAGATGGCAAGATTCTCTATTCTTCATTTAAAAAGATTTATTCATCCATCCATCCATTTATCTATCTAAGACTACTGGTGTGTTTGCTTTATAAAGACAAAGGACTCAATCATTAATGACTGAGTGGGGGACATTAGCTATCAACACTTACTGGTCTGGCTTTACATACCAACCATGCAAAAGTAAGTGTCCATTTTATATCTCCATCCGTGACTTTTTCAACATATCCTTTTGGATGTCTCCACATGTCCAAGACTGAACTCCTGTATTCTCTGTAATATCCATTCCATCTGTAGCACTTCCCATTTCTGTTGATGGCACTGCATCCTTCCATTTCTCACAACATTAAAAAACTTGGGAGTCATCAAACTTTACACCCAATCTGTTAGGATATCCTGCTGAAGCAGCTTCATTATGCCCAGAATCTGGTCACTACTTGCCATCTCCATTGTTCAGTTTTGTCCCAGGCTCTAGCATTCCTCACCCTGAAAATGTCAATCAGCTCCTGATAGGTTTCCCTGCTTCTCCCTTGGCCCTCTTATATCCTATTCTCAACACAGAACCCTGAGTGGGTGTGTGACTCATAATTCCAATGTCTTCTCTGTTCAAATCCCTGTACTGGCTCCCCAGGTCATTTAGAGGAAAGGTCAAGTCCTACTGCCTCTGGGCTCCCAGACCTCTCTGCCCTCCTCTTACCCACTCCACTCTAATCACCAGTCATGTTGTTCTTCTCCATGTTCTTCCAACATTCTGCCTCTGGGCTCTAATTCTTGCTATTCCCTACCATGCCAGAACACTCTTGGATAACTTTCTTTTACTCTCCAGTCTGCTCATATCCTACCCAATGAAAGATCACCCTTGGCCACTCTCCAACCTTTCCTATTTCTGCCACTCCTGATACTCTACTCTTTTCCATTCTGCCTTTTTGCTATATCACTTACTTCCTTAACTTCTTACTGTGTCTCTCCTTGTTAGAATATGAGCCCTGCACTTGCAAGGTAGTTTTTCTCTTTTACTCAATGGTGAACATAGCATTTAAGTGACTACAGCTGCTTGTTTATATTAATTGTTGTTATTCTCAATGTTCATTTGCCCAATACGTCCGAGTGTATCTTTATGCTTCAGCTTCACTGAAAATTCTACTTTACCTTAATTTCTGGAAATGCAATGAGCCAAGTTTTATTGCTTTAAAAACATACATTTGCCATATTGATGAAACTTAAGCAGGGATACAGACTAATTTTCATTAATGTTAACAAGATTTGGCCTAAGTTCCTATTTATACTGTTACCAGAAATTAATATAAGGAGCTCTATAAAATGTCTTAGAGCAATGGCTAAACTCCTTACTTGTGGTAAATAGCAGCTCCTGTCAACACCATGGAGTAGTCGTTTGTCCACTTGGATGTATACCCCCACCGCTCCTTGGAGTTATCCCAGAAATGGCTGCGTGCAGGATACCCCACAATCCTCTCGGGGAAACTCTGCCACACTGTAAAGGCAAAATCCACCTGCAAGGCAGAGCACAAGCCAAGTAAGCAATCAACATCGCTAACAAATGTCAACAAAACATTACCTTCCCCTGCTAATTTATAATATGGAATCCCGGGACTGTTTCAAAACATTAATTCCACATATTCATCAGCAAATTAAACTGACTACTTGACATTTGCCCCACAATTATGCATATTTTAACAAGCTCTCTTAAAGAAACTTTAGATTAGTGTGGAAATGAAAGAAAGAAAGAGATAAAGAAAAGAAAGTTTGAAGATATGTCCTTTATAAATTCAGTCTGTTCAAGCTAAAAACCAAGCCCAAAAAGCAGTTGCTACCCCCCCCACTCCCTGAAAGTGCGTGTGACTATTGTTTCATAGGAGGCACAATGACATCTGTTTTATAAAGGAAAGCAGATTTCCTGCGCACATCTAGAGAGTGAATATACAGGATACATCCTAACCAGCATATATCAAAGCCCAAGTGACTAACATTCAAGCATCCTCTCATGAGCAAAGAAAAGTTTTTTTTTTAAATTTTTTTTAAAGATCACAAGTATTATCAGGAAGACAGAGACGATATAACAAAGAAAATATAGTTCAGGCATCACTAAGCGGCAGAGATAAGATTTGAACCCAGGCAATCTGGTTTCAAGTTCAGTGTATATTGTTTCCTCTCTTGCTGCAGTGTTAAAAACAATTTATCTTAAATTCAAGTTATAATTAATCCTGTGACCTTTGCCTTATTTCTTCTTGATAAGCCATAAAAATGAAAATTTCATTTATTCTGCAAATATTTCAAGTCCCAGTACAGTGATAGTGCCGGGGGACTGAAGCTGCTGCTAAGTCAAGGACCTGTCAAAGGGCTTCAAAGAGCAAGTAAGTATTCACAATGCCTCAAAGGTGAAAACAACCCAAATTCCATCAACTGATGAATGTGACCATTCAACATAAGGACAAAATGGAGTGCTATCCAGCTACAAAAAGGAATGGAGTGCCTCAAAAATATTGTACTAAGTGAAAGATACCAGGTTAAAAAAAGGCTATATATCATGATGCCGTGCATATGGAATCTCCAGAAAGGGCAACTCCACAGACACAGAAAACAGACTGGTGGTTGTCAAAGGTGGGGACATACTGCTAATTGGGCTTAGGGCTTCCTTTGTGTGTAACAAAAATGTTTTGGAAGAAGACAGTGATGACTATACACGTTGTGAAAGAACTAATGCCACCGAGTTACACACTTTGATATGGCTAATTTTATATTATGTGAATCTTACCTCAATAAAATAAAAAGATGGAGCAGGTCTAGACCAATATTTCCCAAGACTTTTGTCCTAGTTCCACACTACATACTCAATTACTTAGGCCATATTTTTCTTTAAAATACTATTTTTTTTTTTGCATCAGTCTATTTCTAAGAAAAATGTCATTCGAAATCCTAGGTTTGATTACTGGCTATATTATTTTCTAGCAAACATGAAAGGAAAGCATAATTGTTAAAAGATACAATATGCTTACAATAATTCATTTCAAACTATTTTATGTACATAAAGCATCATTTTGAAAACACTGGCCCAGGTGAGTTTTTTAAAAATCCCACTATCTCCAAATTCTTCAGCCATAGTTAGAAGTCACTTGGCAATTCCATATATTAAATGAGAGAATTTTAGTAACTGGAAACAATGCAAGGAATTTTGCAGATTGTGTGAAATTCTTTAAAATAATCAAAACGGAATGAGTATATGGAGTCACTTCTTTATAAATAGCCATACACTGAAATTTATATGAAACTCCAATTTGGTACACATGATAGTTAATTTTGTGTGCCAACTTGACAGCACCAAGAGGTACCCAGATTAAAGATGATTTCTGGGTGTGTCTGTGAGGATATTTCTGCATGAAATTAATATTTGAATGGGTAGAATCAGTAAAGCAGATTCCCTCCCTAGGTGGGAGGGAATCATTCAATCCACTAAGCTCCAGAATAGAGCAAAAAAGAGTGGAGGAAAGAGGATTTGACTCCTTTTTAATTCCTGCCTTCAGGTTTGTACTGGGACATCTTCTTGTTCTACCCTTGTACTGGGACTTAACCATGGCTATTCTAGTTCCCAGGCTTTCCAACTCTGATAGGATTACACCACCAGCTTTTCTGTGTTCCCAGCTTGCAGGTGGCAGACTGTGGACTTTGTAGCCATTGTATCATATAAGTTAAGTCCTCATAATAAATCTCTACTGGCTCTGTTTCTCTGGAAATCCTAATACACTGTTATCTCCAGATAAGAAAGACTTAACAGAGCTTGTTCCCAGAAACTATTCTTTCTGGAGACAGTGAAAGAAATAGGGTGGAGAAGCAGAAAACTTGGTGGGGAAGGGAGCATCTCAAAGTTAAAAAGACAGTGGGGGTGGGCAGCATTTTTTTGAAAACTGAAATTAGGTCATAATAGCCTACACATCGTCATGAGCAGTCAATACCAGACGTGCCAACTGATGGGATGGTGCAGCCTGTTGTCAAAGAACTCAAGGGCTGTCTGCACTACTCCTTGGGGCTTTCCATTATTCTCTGAAAAGTATACACATGCACTGCCAACTACTATAGAACCCAATGGGGGTGTTTTCATCACATGAATTTCTTACCATCTCAAAGCTGTTTTAAGTCATTTCACAGAGACTCAAAAAGTAAATTTAGATAAAATTATGATTCTTGTGATAGCTCTACTTTCATGCAGATCATTAACACATCAAAGAAGGCAAAGGTCAGCATAAGGCCTTTTCTCTTAAAAACCAACATCTGTTTTCTTTTGAGGATTTGTAGCAACTCACATAAATATAAAAAACTATAAATCAACTATATCTAATACCCTTTATGGGAAGCTGTTTAAAAATCTATCCTTAATGCTGCAGAAAGACATTTACACAAGCTAAGACCCCTTAGAAAGGGAAAAAAAAAATTGAACCAACATTTAGTCACCTAAAAAAAGAGAACAGAGAAATTCTTGTCCATGACCATTTTAGGCAACACAACCACTCCACAGATCAGCAGGCAAAAGCAAACCAGACTGCCAGCCTCCTAAATTTACATATCATTTTCAACCCACGTTGACTTCTAATTACTTCACATACAACACATGTTCCTCCCAGCATGCCTTGAGCGGTTGGAATTGCTATTCTTTGAAAGGAAATTCACCAGCACAATGATGCATCATAGCAGCTCAAAGTTATTTCACCGTGGGACATGGGAAAACAAAGCCTAGAGTGAGACTAATTGCTTTGTGTCAAGGGAAGGTGTACGATGAGTCATAATCCAGGTCATAGGCTAATAATTTAAGTACATGCTGTGATTGTCCTGACCATTCTATTCCACCATGAGGATGTGTCGCTTTTGCTGCTTGCCCTCTGATATGCCCTGCTCTGTGCCCTGGGTTCCTGGAAACCTAGTGTGATGGTTAATCTTGATTGTCAACTTCATGGATTTGGAGATGCCTAGGAGATTAGTCTGGGTGTGTCTGTGAGGACATTTCCACAGAGTATTAAATGAGGGATGACCATCCCATAAATAAGGAAAGGATGAAGAAGCAAGTTAGCAGGCATCCATTTCCATTTTCATTCTCTCTCTGATCTCTCTGTCTGTCTGCCTGTCTTCCCCCCCCACCCCCGCCCCCGGCCTCCCTCTCTTCCTTTCCTCCTTGGTCTCCACATGAGCTGAAACCACTAAAACTCTGAGCCATCTTCTCTTCCTCAGGTTGTTTTGCTCAGAAATTTTGCCACAGCAATGATGAGATGCCTAACACACCTAGGGACAGCACCACTTGGTCTTCTTTGCTAGCCTCTTCCTCTGAGTTCCATGCCTCTGGAATTTGGAAGCACCATTCCTTCTCCTGCCCCCTCAAGCCCAGGGGTAGAAAAGGCTTCCTATTCTTGCTACTCACCAGGTGCCTCACCATCTCTTATAGACTCTGTCAACTTCATTCTTTCTCCCCAAGCAATCCCAAATCCTTTCATTTGAATCATCTCATCTGAATTCTGTTTGCTGCTAGGACTTTGAAAGATACAGGCAGGGACTATGTAACCCAAGCACTTGGCATAGAGACCAGAAGAAAGAAACCTCTTAATAAATACTTATTGAATGAATGTATTCCTGGGATGCCAGCTTCCCTTTACAGGAAGATGCAAACAGAGAAATGCAGGCTGGGGTGTTCTGTACTTTCTATTTCATAGCCATTTTTCCTTTGAATGTTAAGCATATCTTCAGCCTCACAATCCACCTTCCTGCTGATGCCTATGTGATACAATTGGCTTCGTGTTTATCCTTTAATCCACACAGCACTCATCCCCGCAACCATTCATTCAACAAGTATTTACAGAGCTTTGGCTACATAGAAAGAATTTGAACAAGGTGAGGCCAAGGACATTTTGTTTTGAGATTATTTAGGTTGCCCATGTATGTAATGTCTGTTCAACTTCATCTGATGGAAATGGAAGCAGCAGTGGAATTTCAAGAAAGAGACACTGAGCTGGCCAGTGTAGGTCAACACCAAGTTCACCATTAGAACCAGACTGGGGTCCAGGAGAGTGCCAGTATCTGAACTGAATAGAAAAAGTGATTTTAAATAACAGAAGGAAAAAGAATAGGAGGGGAAAGGATAATTAGTTAAGTCTCTGTGTCTTTTAGCAGTTACTATTAATAATGCATTTCTGTTATACTATGTTTTTTATATAGCTGTCTTTGGTCCCATCTATGGCTTAAAGTATGGTTTCAGAGATCAATACTCATTCAAGTTGTAAAAATTGGTTTTCTACCATATCTATCTTCCTTCTTCTCTCTCTTCTCCACACATATTCTTTGAGCAGTCTTATTTTTGGCACAAATATCTGAACTCCCAGTCTTAAAGTGAAACAGTTTGCTCTTACATGTGGGGAAAAAAAGAGAGCCATTTAGATCAAGACAGAAAAACTGCTTTTAGAACCCAAAATCATGTCCTCTAACCAATAAAACATACAGGACATAAACACTAGGATAACTGGGGAAGGATGGAAGAGGTTGCATTGAACAGAGATCATACTAAACAGGTCCTCAAGCCCCTTTGTGCTGCACACCTGCCCACAGCTGTGCTGGATAGAAACAAAAGGAAAGGGAAGACAGAAGGGGAGAGGTAAGGAACAGTTATGCAAATGAGGAGCCAATTAGCAGAGAAAACAAAGGGAAAAGTGCCCTCATCAGGGTGCTAGGTGGTGGCAAGGTGCTAACAGGAATTGGGCTAATTAAAACCTATTCTGCAGGAGGTTTTGAAAAATGTTTCCAATCCCACAAAGGCATGGGCCAAAGAAGCGTAACCACCTGGGAACTTGGGGCATCTACCTGAAGGGGTCCCACCCACTCCTCAGGTGTGGTTCTTACCTCTGTTGTTGAAAGCACAGTGTCTTCGTCAAGGCTGAGCACAGCATCTGTGATGATATTGTCATAGGGCAGAAACCGGCTGCTCATAACCTGGAGAGTAGGCATAAAGTAGGCAGGAGAGAGGGAATGGGAGGAAAGGAGATGTAACTTTAGAGTCTTGTTTCAGGAAGATTCACCCATCTCCCACGTCATAAAGAATGCTCCAGTTAGAAGAGACAATGAAGGTCACTTCATATTAATGAAAGGAACAGTTCATAAAGAGGAAATATCAATCCTTAACATATATGCACCAAACACAATGGTAATGGTACCCATCTACATTAAAAAATACTCTAATGGCCCTAAGACACAGATAGATGCCAACACAATGATAGTGGAAGACTTGACTACTCCACTGTCACCAATAGGTAGGTCATCAGACACAAGATTAGCAAAGAAACTTCAGACCTACTCCACCCATAAGAACAGAGTATTTCACCCAACAACTAGGCAATATACAATCTTTTCTGCAGCTCATGGAACTTACTCCAAAATGGATCCTATTTTAGGACACAAAGCAAATCTCAACAAATTCAAGAAAATCGAAATAAACCCTTGCATCACATGAAATCACACTGGAATAAAACTAAACCTCAAAAATGAAAGAAACCCCAGAAAATATTCAAACACATGGAGACTGAACAACATATTGCCGAAAAACCAATGGGTGACCAAAGTAATAAGGGAAGAAATCGAAAAGTTCCTAGAGTCCAATGAAAATGAAAATACAACCTACCAGAATCTGTGGGACAGAGCAAAGACTGTGCTAAAGGGAAAGTATATATCTGTAAGTGCCTACATTAAAAAAACAGAGACCTCTCAAATAAACAATATAATGAGGCACCTTAAGCTCCTAGAAAAACCAGAACAGACCAAACCAAAACCAGCAGATGGAGAGAAATAACAAAGATCAGGGCCGAGATCAATGAAATCAAAACCGAACAAACTATATACAGAAACAATGGAACAAAAAGTTGGTTCTTTGAGAAGATTAACAAAATTGATAAACCCTTAGTCAATCTGACAAAATGGAGGAGGGAGAAGACCCAAACTAATAAAATCAGAGATGAAAAAGGGACATAACCATAAATACCAACAAAATCCAAAGAATCATTAGAAAATACTTTGAAAACTTATATTCAGTAAACTGGAAAATCTAGATGAAATGCATAAATTCCTAGATGCATATGTCCAACCAAAATTGAACCAAGAAGATATTAACCACCTAAGTAGTCCTATTACATGAAATGAAATTGAAGCAGTAATAGTCTCCCTATAAAGAAGAGCCCAGGACTTGATGGATTCACAGCTGAATTTCACAAAACCTTTAAACAAGAACACCAATATTCCTCAAACTTTTCCAGGAAATAGAAAGGAAAGGAACACTGCCAAACTCATTCTATGAAGCCAGACATAAACCCACGCATCTATAGACAACTGATCTGTGACAAAGGAGCCCAAAACACACTATGGAGAAGAGACAGCCTCTTTCAACAAATGCTGCTGAGAAAGCTGGATATCCACATGTAGAAGCCTGAATCTAGATCCTTGTCTTTCATCCAGTACCAAAATCAACTTGAAGTGGATCAAAGACTTTAATATAAAGCCTGAAACTTTGAAACAACTCCAAGAAGCAGTAGGAAATACACTGGAACAGATAGGTATAGGGAACGACTTCCTAAACAGAACTCAAAAGGCTCAGCAACTAAGAGAAACAATGAACAAATGGGACTGCATCAAACTAAAGAGCTTCTGCATGGCAAAGGAAACAGCCACCAGACTCAAGAGACAGCCCACAGAATGGGAGAAAATCTTTGCCAGCTACTCATCTAATAAGGGACTAATACCCAGAACCCATAGGGAACTCAAAAAGCTCAGTTCCCAAAGAATCAACATCCCAGTGACGAAATGGGCACATGAATGAAACAGGGAATTCTCAAAGGAAGAGGTACAAATGGCTAGTAAATGCCTGAAGAACTGTTTCACCTTCCCTGGTTGTAAAAGAGATGCAAATCAAAGCAACACTTAGATTTCACCTCACCCCAGTTAAAATGGCCATAATCAAGTGTAATAACAACAAGAAATGCTGGCAAGGATGTGGTGAAAACAGGAATCTTTATACACTGCTGGTGGGAATGCAAATTAGTTCAACCACTATGGAAAGCATTATAGAGATTCTTCAAAAGACTAGAGATAGAACTGCCATATAATCTAGTGATACTGCTCCCTGGGCATCTACTAAAAAATGTAAGACAGGATACAGTAGAAATACCTGTACACTGGTGTTCATTGCAGCACTATTCACAATGGCCAAGCTCTGCAAAGAACCCAGATGCCCTACAACTGATGAATGGATCAAGAAATTGTGGTATATATACACAATGGAGTTTTACTCAGCCACAGGGAATAATGACATTTGGTTTGAAGGAAAATGGATGCAACTGGAGGACATCATGTTAAGTGAAGTTAGCCAGGATGAGAAACACAAAAGCTGCATGTTTTCTCTCATATGTGGAAGACAGATCCAAAATATAAACATGTACACAAAAACAAGCATGATCATATATAAACTCAGAAGCAGAGCATGTTTGTAACAGTGGAAATACTCTATGGAGCACAGAGAAAGAGAGAAAGGAAGAGCGAATGATAGAGCATCAGTAATATTGTATAACATAAGATGTGAAGGTAGAGGATATAAGGACACGCACTGAAAGCTGTTGAAAAATGGGGGACAGGAGGTAAAGGGGTAAGCGAGAGCAACTGAAGGGATTAAACAGCCCAAAGTATAGCACACCCACAGTGGGCATACATTGAGACACCCCTTTGAACTTCAACTTAAAATATTAATAACGAAAACCAGGATTGTAAAATAGGCACAGTGTGTGCAGTCGGAGGTACTAGTGGAGGGGGGAGGGTGAAAGAAGGAGATTAAGGAGACAGTATATGGTTGATGGACTTCATATACCTATATGAAACAGAACTGAAAAACCTCTTGCAATTGCTTTGGGTCGATGGGGAGCGGACTGAGGGGGAGATGATGGGAGAAATATAAGTAATTAACAACATAAGTCCGATTGGAATTGTGACTCTGAATCTTCCCCATGTATATGAATATATCTTAATAAAAATTTTTATAGTAAAAAAAAAAAAAGCAAATAAGAAAACGCACAGACACACACAGAAAAAAGAATGCTCCACTATCATGTCATCCCTCCACATAGAAAGATGTTCACTTCCTACCAGTAAAGACTCCTTTGATCAACAATTATTGGGCACCTTTGGTGTACCAGGCACTTTGCTGGTCAAAGGGAGGATGAATATAAATAAGATATACATTCGGTCTTTGAGGAACTCAAAGTGTGTAGAAACCAATAACCAGATGATTAGTTTTAACTCAAAGTGAAAAATGTCAGGAGACCAGGGGATGGCACAGCCAGCTGCCAGGAAGAAGATATGAAGGCTTCATAGAAGTAGTGACATTTCAGCAGAACATTAATAGGTAGGAATTCGCCAGGCACAAATACAAATGGCTGACAGGAACTAGCAAATGCAAAGAGACAAAAGAAAGAACCAGAGGGTAGGAAAGAGTGGGGCAATGATTCCAAGCCTGGAACACACCACTGGGAGGTCAGACTAACGTAGGAGTGTGCAAACATTTATAAATTTAAATACATATTTATTCTAGCATAGATTATAAAGAATACACATATACATATATATTATAGCTATACCCATAAGAGGTAGGAATAACAGTTTATAAATAATTTCACTAAAATGAAAAGTTTATTGAAAGAAAAATTTTCAATGAATAATACACATAGTCCACAGATTTAGAAAGTTGTGAAGGTGGAATATGAATCAATTCTGGACAATTTAAAAATGTGGTAAAATGTGTGTGGGGGGGGTTGTGGGTTGAGGGGATCAGTTGGAAAAATAGAGGCTGGAAAAGTCACCTCTTGATAGAACCAGCTTACTTTTGTGTTGAGTGTACCATATGTTAACTAATATTTTTTGAACATTTAGTATGGGCCAGGAAATGTTCCAAGTAGTTTTATGATTGTCTCATTCATCTTTACAATAATTTTATCTTATAGGGTAGGAAACTGGGATAAAGAAAGGTTACATATTTTGCCTAAGATGGAACTCTGACTTCTTCCCTGATGACTGAAGAGTCTTCTGACTGAAGAGCCTTTTAGCCACTGTGCTCCAACCATCTCAGGTTTGGAAAGAACCTCAAAGTGAATGTAGGGACAGATGTGACATATGTACCTTCACCACCTTCCTTGTTATGACAATGATCTGAACACACTTGTTGATCTGAGAGACAGGACACGCTTGCCATTGACTTTGAAGGCACAGAGGCCAAGAAATGAAGGGCTGAATGCTGGAGACAAAGGGAAAGGAGGAAAAAAGACACTTAACAGGCTGCCAAAAGAAGCCCAAGCTATGCTTATATCAAGAAGCCAACTTGTTCAAGGGCCTCTATTCAAATCTGGGCTACATGCTGGAAACTCCTGGAGATCTTCTGATGCTAGCACAATGCTTATCTGTGAGCTCCTGGGATGGACCTACAATATAAGTGACTGCAGGGTTGGCTCCCATACATCTGTCAACTGGATTAGGGTGTCTTTTTAGAAAATCTTCTCAGGCTTTCAAAATAAAATAAAATATAAAGCAATCAGCAACCCCATATACACAGCACTCAGAAATCTCAGACTGGAGCAATTCTCCTGCTACTGTTTACAAGTCCACTGAGTAACGCAGAAACCACCAGCTGGCAGCTTAGCAGCATACTGACCTTTCCCTCGTTCAGTCTGCAGGGGAAAATTGCAAAGACAAGAATTTTGTAGCTAAAGCAGCACACACATCAATTTTGAATTCAAGGCTAGACATGGAAGCCTTAAGATGGAGAATAAGGAAGACATGGGGCTTCTTAAGATGGAGAATAAGGAAGACATGGGGCTTCTACCTCATCATGGGCTCAACCTTTGGATCTAAAGGAATCTGCTTCCTTTTTCTGTTGAACCTACTTCATTTATAGGTTATGAGCCCATTATCCCACCACTTCCAAATTTTGGTGTAAAAAATGGACGGTTTCTTTCAAATCCATTCCCTCAGCTGCCCTCATGTAGAGGTCAATGCTGAGTGAATTGGGCTTGCCCTGCTAGTTCATTTAAAAAATATTTTGCTAATATGTGAGAGCCCAACTCCTTTGGTACTAACAAACATGACCGAGATTCAAGAAGTTTATTGTATAGTGGGGAAGATAAGAAATGTACATAAATAAAAACACAAAGCACACAATGTTTTTGAGCATCTGTGATGTAGTTATATTTCCCAGTACCTTTGTGGATATGATATCATTTGATTCTTTTAGGTATCTTATTTGTTGGTATTATTATTATTTCCTTGTATTTAAGGAGAGGTTGAAGCACAGATATTAAGTAACTCACCTTAAGTCATACAAAAGTAAGCCTGAGTCTAGAGCCCATAGCATAAATCATGAATGCAATGTTGCTTAGAAGAGCTGGCACTTATTGAAGCCTTGTTATATGCATAACAGGCACAGGGCTTAGCATCTGATGTGCAATATCTCACTTCATCCTCAAAGTGGGCCTATGTCTTAGCCCAGATTCCCTAGAATATAAAGCCTGAAGTGTAAATGCTTCACTAAGCAGTACAATCCCAGGGCACTGAGAATCAGGGAAAAGGCACAGAAACCACATGGCCCACTAGAATTGTTGGCCAGAATGGAGGCTACGATTGAACAAATTGCCAGGAGCCCAGATGCAGATATAACTAGGAGAATTTGATAAAGCCAATGAGAATTTGATAAAGCCAATGAGACAGGTACAATTATTTTCATCACCAATTTTTTTGGGAGGTGATACTGGGGTTTCACCTCAGGGCTACATCCTTACTAGGCAGGCGCACTCTACCACTTGAGTCACTCTGCCAGCCCTCTTTTTTTTGTGTGTGTTGGGTGTTTTCGAGATAGGGTCTTGTGAGCTATTTGCCCAGGCAGGCTTTGAATTACAATCCTACTGATCTCTGCTTCCTAAGTAGCCAGGATTACAGGCATTGAGCCACCAGCACCCAGCTCATTATCATTTTATAAACAAGGCAATTGGACAACTGGGAGTGTCTTTTCATTGAGAGTGAAAATATAAAGTCAGTCAATGAGTCACATCATGGAAATGTAATGCTGCCTAAAGAAATCAAATGGTTCCCAATTAGGCAGACTGGATCCTGTCTAAATATCCTGATACATCCAAACAAAGGTGACCAGAGGAGATCTGGTCACCCAAATAAACACAAAACACTCAAGAATCCCAGAGTTCAAATTTGCCTGCATATATCTGAGCACTGTTCAGGGATGCGGACATTGTATGGCACATTATGGTTCTGTGGGAGGCTATTCTACTGAGGAGATGAACACAAGGGGTTGTAGGCAGGAGAGTTTTATAAGCCAGTCCTTTTTGTGAAACCATATATATGATGAGATGAATTCACAAGCATGAGAAAACTAACGTAAGGAAGCCTCTGGTTGTCCTAATGCCCATCTTTTCTTATTAAATGCTCACCAACCAGCTCTCTGACAACCACTGTGCTTGATTCCAGCCCCATGAATACTGTTACTATATTTGTCATGTTCCCTACTGACTTGCAAGTCTATTACACAGTGCAGCACACAGTAGGTATCATGAATGGGAATTCAATAGATAACGCACTGACCATCTTTTTCTCCACAGGACCATGAAATCCTCATCGCGTTATGTTGAAGCATATGAAATTGCCACTTTTGTTGAGTCAAATGATGATTTCAAATGGTTTTACCTAATAAATTGATATTTTTTGTCATTTTGGCTCAAGGATATTTTACTTAGTATGAGCCAATCTCTCATGACCTGACTCCTTGGGGGCTGGAAAAGGAAGTCTCTTAGATAATATGTATTCATCAATCTCAATTTTGTTTAGTGCTGGCTGATTTCTTCACAATGGGAAAGATCTACAAGAAAGCAACACTCAGCAGCTGAAGAAACACGTTCACTTTTGATGTCTGACTGCCAATGGTGGAAGAAATGTCAAGAAGGAGGTAGCAGAGGAGCTGAAAAGATACATATTTGCTTTAGGAGGGCAGCAAAGACTTAGGGCAAATGGCAAGACAGAAATTAGAGGTAGGGAAGGACACAAAGCAATCTGGGTAGTTGGGTACGGTGTCTGTAAAAGAAGACGATGACAGAGATGATTGGAAGGCTGGCCAGGGCCAGGTTACACATGGCTTCAAATGTCAAACTCAGACACTAGCAAATGGAACCCCTAAAAGGCCACAAGATGATCAGGCAGCTCTAGGCATAGTGGACTGGAGAATGGAAACAGGGGACGCCAGTGGGGCTGCTCTAGAGAGAGTCTAGAGCAGGCATCAAAGCAAAACTCAGGTGAATTATCCTTTAAAGAAAGCTATGAAGGAGAACTTATGTCCCAAAAGACATAACTCATTTGGATTAATCAGCTAAGCAAACCTCGTGCATCATCCATCAACCTCATCTTTATCCACATCATTTATGGAAAGGGTAATGTTGCCAGGGCCTGAATTCATTTACTCTTCATAGCAACCCTGGGAGGTACGCATTATTATTTCCATTTTGTGAATGAGGCAACTGAGGGTCCAAGAACTTAAGTATATGCACAAAGTCCACAAAGTCAAAAGCTACTGAAGGATTAGTATGAAGACCCAGGTTGTGCTGATTCAGAAGCCGATGGCTGTCAAAACTAAGAAGGTTCTGAGTCAAGCGCAGTGTTAGTAAATACAATCCAGGCCTGGCCGCTCTTAGGGGTAGAAGGAAGTCTTGTAGCCAGCACCCAAAGTGCCCCAGGGAGAACTGAAACTTCCATGGTGGCTCCACATTTTGGTTCCCTTCCAGGCCTACCTTGCTCTCTCCTTCAATAACGATGACAGGCACAGCAGTGGCAGGCCAGCGGTGTTTGGCTGGTAAGGGCTTGTCACAATTCCATAGAACTATTATCTGAAAGACAGGGATCATAAGATGGATGGTTTAGGTGTGTTTATGTAGCCCTCCGACCCAAATTTTTGTTGTTGTTGTTTAGTTTTGTTTTTGGTAGTACTGGGGTTTGAATCTAGATCCTCATACTTGCTAGGCAGATGCTCTACCACTTGAGCCACTCCACCAGCCCAAAAGTTCTTCTTATAGACAGAGAAAGAGAAGGAGGGACCAGAGATCTCTGCAAGGCTGATATCAAAACTGAATTTTATTTCACTTTATTTTTAATTTTTTTATATTTTGCAAATTAGCTACTCCTTTTGTCCCACTTTTTTGTTTTCAGTACTGGGGTTTAAACTCAGGGTCTCACACTTGCAAGGAAGGCACTCTGTCACTTGAATCATTCCCCCAGGCTTGTTTTTGCTTTAATTTTTGGATAGGATTTAGTGTTTTTGCCTAGGATATGCCGCAGATCACAATTCTACCTATGCCTCTGTGTGGTGGATTATGGACCTCAGTCACCATGTCTGGTCAGTTTGTTGAGATGGGAGTCTCACTAGCTTTTTGCTCAAGCTGGCATCGAACTGTGATTCTCCCAGCATCTACCTCTCAAGTAGGTGGTATTATACACGTGAGCTGCCATGTCTAGCCCCATCCACATTTTTTATTCGTGAATATTAATTGTACACTATAGGGGTTACATTGTGATATTTCCATACATGCATATAAAATACTTGGATCATTTTCACCCCTATACTCTTTCTTGTCCCCCTTCATTCTCACACAATTTTCAGAACCACATCACTTCAACAACCAGAAAAAGAGGACAGAAAGAATAACCTAAAAGAACTATGCTCAGGGGCATAGGGAAAGCTGGAGGAAAAAGAAGTAATTTCAAGGTTGGCAGAGTTTAATGGAGTGGTTTCCTAAATTCCAATATCTAAAGACAATGAGTGAGATAGAGACTCTGGTCAAGTTAAATAAAAATATATACTAAACATGTGAACATCTGCTGTGAACTTGTGCTATACCAGGCAATGTAGGCTAAATAAAACAAGATAGAGTAGGCTGAGCTCATGCTTTGGATTCATCAGTAACGGTTGCTGATTTTATGTGACTTTATGATTTCCAATAAAGGCATTTAGTTAGCAAAATGCACACTTGAACATGATTTCATTCTTTCCTCATTTGATACACTAATTCACAAATCAGAAAAACCACTGCTCTAGTCTGGGAGTGACACTGATTTGGAAAATATTGCTACCGTAGCTGTCATCTTCTACTTGACATTTTCTCATTAGTCATGATTACTGTGAAAGAAAAGTGGAGGTCTTCTGATGCCAACAAGTGTTTCTTCTATTGAAACTTAGTGTTCTGGCTTCTCTGATGCTATGCTGACATTTTGACATTTAAAAAAAAAATAAAGAAGAATGAAGGAGATTGATGGAAGGGATGAATACAACTATGGTATATATTTGGTAAATGTCACAATGTACCCCCAGTACAACAATAATAAAGAATGATGAAACCAAAATAATGTGCTTATATTCATTTCTGTATTTGTTTATTTAATGGGGATTGATCTCAGGGTCTCGCACCTTGCACTTGTTAGGCAAGCACTCTACCACTTAAGCCAAACCCCCAGCTCCTTTGCTTTTAGTTTGTTTTATAGATGGGGTCTCTTTGCCTGGGCTGGAGTTAGCCTGAGAGCTGCCTGTGTCCTCCTTTGGAGTAGCTGGGATTACAGTATATGCCACAACACCTGACACCCTATACTTATGTATTCTTTAGACACAGAGTGAGTGTGTGTGTATGTATATGTGTGTGTGTGTGAGTGGGTGTGAACCTTATACCAGCGCAATGGCTTTCAGAAATCCACCTAAACCTGTGCCAGATTTCACTTCTGAGAACCTCCAAGTTGTTTGGGAGTGATGAGGCACCTCAAACGAAAGGATGATGCTCACTGAGTCCTGGGAAATCAAATGTAGAACAGGTAAGGAGCAAGGGTGCTCTGACCTACTGAGCTGAAGACAAGTGCACTCACCTGGGCACAGTACTGGGACTTGGCTGCAGCCATGAGAAGCTTCAACACTGGCTGGGACTGAGAGACCAGGGGGGTCACCGCGTGAATGACTGCAGTGAATTTGGAGGGGGGCTTTAAACCTGAAATGGAGAGGAGAGAAGAGCCTAATGGAGCACTGAAAAACAAGACTGAGAAAATTACTCCTTCTTGCTCTGTTGCTTCACCCTGGAGCTAATGTTCCTTTCTAGCATATTTTTCCTTTGCTTCTTATGTCCTGACAGAACAGAAAAAGGTGAAAAGCTGCTACTTAGCTACTGCCTCAATCTATAGACCTCAATAATTTACAGATCAATGTCCATTTCCAGGTCCTTCTACACCCTTTCCTGCCCTTGGTGATGTTGATTTGATCTCCCTTGGGCTTTTCAGCTACCTATTGTCTAAACACAGCATATGCAAACGTACCTCAAGAAAGTTCTGCTTGTGTATCTTAATATGGGTTTAAGTAAATGTGCTTGCTCCTCCCAGGGTATTTGCATGTACTGATTCTTAATTATGCAATTAAGGGGTTTTGCCTCATTAATAGTATTTCAAATCATAACTACTAAACAGGAAAGGCTAAAAAAAAAAAAACAACCAGCATCCAGAATCTGTCTAGGTTTGAATCTTAGTTCTACCGCTTAGTGGTGGTGACACTTCGGAAAATTACTCAACCCTCTGTTTCCACAGCTGTGAAACAGCTAGTAACAAAGCCAAGCTTATGGGGCTGCTGTGAGAATCAAGTCAATGAATGCATAAAAGCACTTAGAATAGGACTTAGCAAGTAATAAATATTCAATATGTGTTAGCTGTTATCACCATCCTGACCACCACCACCACCACCGTCATCGTAATCGTCATTATTTTGGAAAGGAAGCCTCTACTCCAAGAATCTCTTTTTTGTGTAGCAGTGACACAGCTGAGACAAAAAGTATGTGATACAGACTTCTGTCCACTGTGAGCTTTGAAGTCCTAGGTAGAAAAGTAGGATAAATATGCAAAACAACTGCACCAAAGAGAGAGAAATGAGGTGACTTCCCTTGACGAGTCACCCCACAAAAACTCACCAAGAAATTAGAAACAGGTTAAGAGCCTTTTAGAACTTCATTAGCTTACACTCACCAATTTGGCGCTTAGCTTAGATGTGAACAAAAGAGTGCGGGGCATTTAAGTTAAACGTTGATATCAATAGGATAATGGCAAAATGATTGTGCAAATATTTGTAGGGAAAATTATATCATTCAAAAAGCACTTTAATTGTACATTAGAAAGAGGCTAATCTCCCCAACTAAATAAATACACATTAAAGTTAGAAGAATAAACACAATTGAGGAACTATCTTTGTAACAGTGGGAACAAGTCACTACTTTTAGGTTTTCATCTTTTAGTTCAAGAAGCATCGGTTAAACACTTCCTATGTGCTGTCTTCAAATAAAGACCACAATACTCTACAAGAAATATATAGACATTCTTAATCACTGCCTTCATTGGACAATTACTAAATTCTAAACACCCAACTACTAAATTGGGACTGTTCAATGAATTTGATATAGTCCCCAAAATGCTTGGTTCAGATTATACGGTTCTTTATAATTGGTGGATACTTCAGGCCATAAATTTCTCTCAGTTTCACCTTATGGGTTTTAAGCTAAATAGGTACAGCTTTAAAAAAAAAAATGGTGCAATTGATTTGGAGAAAAATAGCATGGAGTGGAAAATCTGAGTCTTTTTGCCATATCAATTTGAAAAATGCTGTACTGTGAGGTGAAATATTCAAGATGATACAAACATGAGAGCAACTGGGGCTCTAACTACTCAAACGTCTAAGGCAATCATGGTAGCCTTTTAAGAGTTTCATTCCTCTGTCCATTTCCCTTTCCCACTGTGATTGGATTAAAAGCTGCTTGAAAGCAGAGATTGCCTCTTATTTGACCTTTTATTTCTTACCACCTGGCATCACGTTAGCACCTAAGAGGAACATAATAAATGGTGAAGGAGTGAATACATTTTCCCTTGTCACGTATTCTTAGCTACTTCCGCTTTCTCTCCTTATCAATTTGGGTTTTGCTTAGTATAGTACAGAAAAGTGGGATAGTGAAGAAAAGTTAGGTATAACTCTTCTCCATTTTATATATGATGAGACTTAAGTTTATAGCTAATCCATGTCATGCCCAAAATAATGCATACTTTAGGGAACCTATTTCTCAACAGGAAATAACTGTACTAAACATAAAGAGTAGCTGCTCAGGTAAGAAAGAGGTTTTATTTATTTATTTATTTTTCAACAGTCTGATGGATTTATTTTTTTGCAGTTAGGGCTTGAACTCAGGGACTTCACCTTGTGCTACTCTGCCAGCTCTTTTTTGTGATAGGTTTTTTTGAGATAGGGTCTTGAGAAACTATTTGCCCAGGCTAGCTTTGAACCATGATCCTCCCGAGCTTTGCCTCCTGAATAGCAAGGATTACAGATATGAGCCACCAGCGCCCAGCAGTCTGCTGGATTTATAATTCCTATTATTGATGTATCATTTTTATCAGGGCTTAGACGGCAATCTTCAAGACATCAGCAAGAAGTTGGGCTTTAGTTCTGGATGATAGCTTAGAGGTAAACAAAGGCAGTTATCTAGAAGGAATTCACTTACCTAAATTAGCATAGTAGTAAGGAAAATCTCCCAGATAAGATGAATACTGTGGCAGGACGAACAATCCTCCAGGATGTTTGTTCCATATTAAACTGTTACGTGATATGTGCTTGAATATTCTGTCCTGAATAATCTACAAAACAGAAACATGGCACATATTGAGACCCAAATTTAGGGATGATGGCATTCAAAGTACTAATTCTCCCCAGTCCTCCCCTAATTCTCCATTGGTAAAAATGTCTGCAAGACAAAGAGAAGTGACAGGCACTGGAAAACAGTAAGGCAAAAGAGATGAATTATGGCTAATGGAGTTTCCTAATTAAACTTCAGGTTAACCATGAATTCTATTTTGTCTTTCTACAATAATGAGTCCATGCTCATTTCCAAGTCGAGTGTGTGGAACAGTTAATCTGTCCTTCACGGCTGAGCATCTAACCATGGACCCAGATCCCTGTCAGTAGATCTGTTCTTGGTTCACACAGATACTGATTAGCCTAGGCCGCCTAGGGACTGAACTGAAAGCGCACTGAAGGCATGACACGTTCTCAATTGTTGCTGAGGTACTGATCTCTTTTAAGTCAGGATTTATATGCTTGTTGTATTTCATTTTCCTTTTATAGTCAATTGTGGGACTTCGGGGTTTTCTGTATTTCGGCCTCAAAATGTAGTGAGTGAATAATTGCTTAAAACACCCTACATAAGAGGACAAAAACCATGGCATATGAAGAATAATAACAGCAAGCTAGTTCATTAGTTTCTTTGGATTTGGGGACCTTGCAGATCATTAAATTCTACATTTAGAGTTCAACAGTCCCTCATTCTGAATCATTTGTCAGTTGAGTGTGATTAGCCCACTTCAGGGCTTTTTCTCTGTGACTTTCAAACTCTTGCAATTGTACCATCCTCTCATTAAGTTATGATTTGGCAAATAATTAACTTGATACAGAATTTCATGTTTCCAGCAAATTTTTTTGTACTTAAAAAAAAAAATCCTGGGGGCTGGGGATGTAGCACAGTAGTATAGTGTGTGTCTAGCACAGGTGAGGCCAAGTTCAATCCCCAGCACCAAATAAATAAAAATTTAAAAATCCAGAAACAAGTCTTAAGAGATTGAAGGTCTACATCATCATTTTCCAGGTCCTCACTTAATGCAGTGTGATTTTTAACTAGAAACCATTTTAAATGGAGTTTTATTATTTGCTAAGTTATTAACACATTCATCTTATTCCACATGGTGACTTGACAAGTAATAAGGTGAGCTACATGTACCTTTGCAAACTGTATGTTTATCTTCCTAAGGAGAGACAAGGAAGGAAGTAGGGAAGAAATTAAGAAGAATGCAAATATCTTACTTAGTTCAACAATTTCTGTATTTTGTCTTTTACTCAGAGCAAAATTGCTAATTTTATATGGCTAGGTAGAAGTTTCTGAAGAAGAAATCTGAAGATTTTAGGAATCCAGCCACAGTGCTGATGTTTACTCTCTGTGGTACAAGAGGAATGTGTTACAGTGCTGTCATCTAGGCTTTAATTATGAGAAAGTTGTCATGTTGTGGAAAGTTTCTACATGGCAAGCCATTCTACTTTGTACAACATTTATTCTAGTCTTTTATCATGTGTACTGTCCAGATCCACTGTCAATTTATTTCCCTTTATAGTTTCTCATTTAAATCCTTCCTCTTTTCTTGCTTTCCAGCATGTGGTCACTTAATAAGCTGGGCTAGCAACAGACAGCATGGTAAATCCAACCTACAAGCAAACGGCATGAAATTCAGATGCCACAAAGTTTGTCCTCACTCACTTCGGGTCTCTGAGTGGTATGCTTTACATTGTTATTAGTCTTATCTTTTTGATTTAGTACTACAACGTTGTTATCTTTTAAATTTCCAGGATAGGATATAAAGTTATGGTATTCTTTTTTTTTTGGTGGTATTGGGGTTTGAACTCAGGGCCTCACACTTGCTAGGCAGGCACTCCTATGCTTGAGCCACTCGTCCAGCCCCCAATTGTATTCTTTTGAAATACTGGTCGGCATTTTAGACTCTTTCCAAATGGATCTTGACAAAATGCTATCAGTACAGATATGAGGGCAATAGCAAATGTTGAACTTAACCTTGGCCGAGCAATTTATCACATTTATGGCTCTCTTTCCTCATTTGTAATAAAACAAAGTACCACATTAATTATAACAACCTCTTAAAATTTAACACTAGCTGCCTAAGTTTTTATACTTAAGACTTGCTTTAAAAGAAATTCTCATTTCTGTGTTCATTTTCTAGGTATACACTTTTTCATTTTTACACAGCTATGATATAACATATCTTTATCTCTGTTAGATTTTCCCCACAGTATGTATGGTTTTCTTATCTTAAATGACCAGCAGTAGTACACTTTTTTCCATGCAGAGAAGTTAATATATTTAATGTGAATAAATTTTTTCCACATTTAGGATTAATACTTTAGGGCTTTGGCAAAAGGTTATGAACAGTCAAGGGTGTTCACATGCGTCTCCAAACATCATTCTAATAGGTTTATATCAACTTGCCTTGTCAAAAGTTTGAAAGAGTATAGATCTGATTTCAGCAAGTAGAAACATTACATCTTTTCTGTCTCCTAATGAATTCTCTCTATCGCTATACTGGACAGCTTCCAGAATCTTCTATTGGCAGTTAGTGTTCATGCTTCATTGTTGTGGAAGAAGACAGTATATATAGACCTCTGTTGAAGGTCTATACAGAAAATCCACAGATACACACACATATGAGAAGTTTTTTTTAAGGCCCCAAATGGTACCCTCAAAAAAATCACACTTATTAATGTGAATAAAAGGAAAAATGAAAGATTCCTTATTTTTCTTTTTAATGTGACCTCTTCTTTTTCAGAATGGTGGATAATAGGTCATAGGTTACGTTCTATGTGGGCCTCACTTGGTCTTTCCACCAGAGCGATGTTGCCTAATATAAACAGTGTCACCACATGCTACCTTGCTCAAAGCCGAAGCAATCGTCTGTTTCCATTATCTCATTGATTTTTAAATAACATGATATAAAAGTATGGACAATACTGTGGTTTGAAATATGTGTAGTCAGACAACTGAGGGGAAAATGGGAGCACTTCATAAAACTCCTCCCAAAATAGCTGCTATTACCTGTTTTCATAAATCATTATAATCCAGTGTACTTCTCTTTGACTCACCTCAATTCTGAGTTCCTGTGGTTTAATTCTTCAGTGCCAGGTTATTGTGTAATAATGGAATCTGTCAAGGAACACCGTCTTTGCAGAATCTTACTGCTGTCCCCATCATTTCTTTTCAATTTGTACAAATATACCTAACTCCACAGAGTTTAGATCTGATTAAGTGTCTCCTTAATTCCAAGATGCAGCATTAGAAGTTTTCTCAGACTAGAAAAACTAACAGAATCCTAAGAATGACAGCGTTCTGCACAATGAAATGTACTAACAACTTCACCTTGGCTTTGGAGAGAAAGATGAAGGATCCTGTGTTCACTTGTGTCTAAGTACTTCCTACAATTCTAGGGCTCATATTCTTTAAACTCTCAGTAATCCTATCCTCATGGACTAAATACAGGAAATAAAGAAGAAGGACCCAGCACTCTAGAGTCTGAGCACAGGTGATCCTGAGCAAGAATTTCAAGTCTATGCAGTCTAAAGTTAACTTTGAATAATTCTCATACTTTAGGAGCTCCAGCACCCACTGAATGACTTATACTGCGTAAGTTCTAAGTTGAGTAGGCATTTTTGATATATTGTGCCTAAATTATTCTTTGGAACACTTTGTCTTTGTTTCTTTGTGCATGCGGATGGCATTTCCTGGGATTTTCCCTGCTTTTCTGTTTATGTTGCATTCTAAGGTAATATGAGATCTGAATTAAGATAAAAAAGCAAATGGTATCTCTTATGCAATCTGGTTGGGAGGCCAAATTGTTACAATCCAATCTTGGAACAATATAAAGAGATTTGACAGCTGCTATAAATTTGAATGAAGTGTATGGTTTTCAGTGTTTTAAAAAGCAACTGTGCTGCTGAAGAACTGTATGGCTTAAGTCCAAGGGGAAGAAGACCTTTTTCCAGGCTCAGAGATGAAAGCAACTTGACCTAAGGACCTAATGTGATGAATATAACACAGCCGCCTGTTATTACAGGATAATGCAACACTGCTAACTTAATTGGCCAGAAACAGATCTATGAAATAAACCAAACACAAAAGAAATACAATTAATAAGATACTGTCTTCCATCTGTCAAATTAGCAAAGTTGCATATGTGTATGTTTTAATTATGATATTTAAGGCTAACAAGAGTGTAGCAAAAGAGGGTCTCGCCCAGATGGTCTGTGAGAGTCCGGGTTAATATGATTTGCAAACTCTTTGGCTCAAGAATCTTACTTCAGAGACTCTATCCTAAAGAAAAAGGCTGAACTGTATTCTAGCACACATGCAGAAAGTCATTGCTTGGTTAAGGACCTGTTTGCATTTCATAGTTATCTATGAAAAAACAATAACGAGAAACAACACTAGTGGGAAGAAACAGAAGACGGATCAGATAAACAAAGGGTTCCATAACATGCATGTTAAGGTGAAAAAAGTTAAAATGTGATCTGGGTATATCAGAAATGGATAGGAAAAGGACAGAATAAAAAGACCAGAAATACCCTGAAGATGCAAAAAAGCCGCCTGTGAAAATACTGCAGAAAGTGTAAATGCAATGCATTGGGACAACTAGACCACAATTTTTTTTTTTAAAAAAAGAAGATTTAAAAAATAGGAAATAAGAAAAAGGTTCGATTTTCAATGCAGAACATATATAAAAGCAAATTGGATTAAATAGTTAAATTATTTGATATTAAAAAATCAACCATGAATGTACTAGAAAAATGTTATCTTGCATTTATATAGATATAAATAAAACTATGGGTCAAAATGTCCTTTCAAAAAATGTAGCAAATGGAGGGGTTACGGATGAAAAGATCACCTAATCATAAACAAAACAGAAAGGCATACATTAAGTTAAGGGGAAACACGTCAAACACAGGAGTTCAGGGGTTAACATTTTTAATTATAAAAAAATCTAAAAATTAATAAGAAGAAAATCAACAATATGTCAAGTTTTTCCTTTGTGATCTGCCTGAGCAAGAAATAAGTGAAAAATGTTGGTTTTAACCAATACTTTAAGAAGTAGAAATTAAGAAAGCAACTTGTTATTTTTAAAAATATAATGTCTAACATTAGCAAAAGTGGAAAAAATAATTGAAAATAATGAAAACAGGTTCTCTCTCATAAGCTGGAGGGAATATAAATTAGTTTAGTTCTATTGCAGGAAAACTGACAAATGACATCAGAAATTTCAGCATTTGTCATATTCTTTGAACCAGGACATTGCATTAAAGGGATTTATCCTAAGGAAGTAATCTTGAATCTGCACAACAATTTGGCTTTGAGGCTATTTGCTGTGATGATGTGGATAAATGAAAAAGCTGGAAACAATTATAATGAACCCAAATGGGAATCAATTTTAAAAGTTAACTGGTACCATACCTGAAATACTATACAGCCATTAATATAACTTAGAAATGATTAAAATAACTATAAAATCTGAGGGCTGGGAATGTAGCTCAGTGGTAGCATGTGCAAGGTCCTGGGTTTAATCCCCAGCAGTACAAAAACAAACAACAACAAACAAACAAAGGGTGAAAACAAAAACGAAAACCAATAATCTAATAATATGCTAAAATATTAACAATAGCTATTTAAGCAGAAAAAAGATAATGTAAGTACAGACAGACAACTTAAATTAAAAATTACAATGAATTTTAAATTTGTATATTAAAAAAACGAACGTATACGGTTTATATGGATCTGTGGTATGTCAATAGTGGTTTTGTATGGGTAGATTATTTATGTTTTGTCTAAAATAAACATGTACTTTATTGATAAAAAACATTCTCCACTCCAAAGTGGGAAAAAAAATTAACAGTCAATTTTCTTTAGGAAGGATCTTAGAAAGACAACAGAATTGAAGAAAAGTGCAGAGTATAAAATACTTAAATCTGCTGTAATGAACAGAAGTGAAAATGGAATAGATTTTAATTGAGGACAATGCTTTTGGAGGAATAAGAAAGGCCCTGGAAGCCATTATGAGCCTGATGGTTTCATGGGGATAGTAAGGCTGGGTCCTAGGTAGTTCTGATCATCCATCTCCAGGATGAAGAAAACACACAGTGACCCTGACAGAACACTGACATTTGCCTCAGGGTGGGTACAGGAGCCCAGGCTAGGAAGAGGTATGATATGCCCAGCACTAATTCTGATATGACATTGGAAGAAGACCATCTTGTGGACCAACAGGGTGACTTCAGTTTCCTTGGTATTACTCACAGACCTGTGTATATGCTTCAAATTGTATTCATTTTTGGAGCAATTGTATTCATTTTCTCAAGAAAATATTCCAAAGTGTAGTGAGAAAGAGCCCCACCTCCTCTGTGAACACCTGAGCCACCTCTGTGCTGAATTTTACCAGAGAATCTCTGCTTGTTCTCCCTTCCTGCAGGCCTGTAACTCCTGAGTGTATAGTTTGCTAAGTCTTAGTTCTTTGCACTGTTTTGGTGTAGCCTCAGGGCACTGCTATCTGCTCTGCTTCCAAAGGCTTTAATCATCTTCATACTTCTCTTTCCTTTTTTCTTTCTGCCTTAAAAGGGGTGTCCATCTGTCTATGATGTTTTCTGTTTTTACAAAGTTTAACACTTTCTGCATCAGTTGGGTGTAATCCTGATTTCTCTCTTTATGTAATCCTGCATCAAAGATGCTGGTTGGATGGGCTGTATACACATCTTCAGAATTAATTTTGTGTTCCTTAATGTCATCAGACTATTGTGCTCACTAAACTGTTCATAGTTTTAGAGTAGTACAAGATTTTCCCTTACTTGTCATTATCTTTTTCTCTAAATGGGCTCTAAAATGTCTTCAAAAGATGTCATTGAATGTGAATGACAGGAAGACAGTCATTACCCACATATCCCCGAAATGATGTCAGACAAAGGCAGTCTCTGTGCTCACAAGCATAGTTTTTCTGCATGTCAGTTTTGCTCTTGGAGTTTGTCAGAAATAAGAGAATTTTCTTGGGCCTGGCAATGCAGATACAGGAACTAACTGATACATCCAAGTAAAGAAAATTTGGTTTTGCCCCATTTGACCAACCACACATCAGCAATAGCAAAACAGAGGTCATGTAAAGGAATAAAGGACCATTATTTAAGATTGTGAGCCAAATAGTTTTACTTACCTCTAGTGTAGTTAATACAATCTTCTCAACTGAAGAAAAATAAGCCTCCCACAAGAATTGTGTCTGCTGTCTAAGTGCTAGGATTTTATCCTGATGAATAGACCTGATTGTAGAAGGAATCTGTAACATAAGGTGAACACACAGGAATTACAACTGTAAAACAGAGAAATGTGATCAAACAACCCACTAGGTTATACTTGTATTCTCCATAGCACTCAGCTTCTAGCATACTGATTCACTAAAAATTCCCAACCCCAAGTAGAAACGTCCCTAAGAAATGCCGGTACAAACTGCGCTTCCAGGGAGTAAGTCTCAAAAGCCTTTAATGCGTGAAAGTTAGCCATTAACTTAGTTCACTTCTAAAATTCAGTAGCAGCTTGTCTATTGCTTAAGGTGTTCCTGCAGTAACAATTGCTATTTCCTCCTTTCAGAGCCTTAGAAATCCTCAACCTTGCACAACCCAATTTTACAGAAAAGTAGCTACTGGCCTTGGGGAAAGGCCAAAAGTCTTTATTCTCCTAGCAGGTCTAAGATCTGCCACCCAAGGAACTATAAAATGTCTATAAAAGAGCTTTTTAAAGAATGTTGATAAGTTTCCTTATACAACCTGAAGTCATTTCTATGTACACATCCCTCTTCTCTCCCTCTTTGAGCCTTTGCACTCCATAGATTGCTCTTTCTGCCCTAAGCCCTTACCCCAATTTGACTGGATTTCTCAAACACTGTGAATGTTCAGCCACATACCACTCTAAACCAAGCTATACAATTCTGATGAAAGTCCTATGTCCTATTCATCCTCCTGTACATTTTAAGGCTAGAACGCTAGGACAGTAGCTTATATGTAGTAGTTATTCAAGAAATAAGAGTGGGAACAAATATGATTACCTGAAGCTACCACCACGATGAATTACTTTTAAAGCTTTATTTTTTGTATATTTTAATGAGTTTCTTCATGATATTTTATACATGTAAATAATGTATTTAGATAACATTCACCACCCCATTACTGAATCATGTCTCCCCTCCCATTGGGCTCCCTCCCTCTTTCCAAATAGTTCCCCTTCTAATTTCATATCCTTTAAAAAAAAAAAATCTAGATTTGGCATACAAGGGAAAATATGCAATATCTGGCTTTCTGAGTCTAGCTTATTTCACTTCATAGGATAATCTCTGGTTCCACCCATTTTCCTGCAAATGACATAATTTTGTTCTTTTTTATGGCTAAATAAAACTCCATTGTGTATACAGACCGCATTTTGGGGGATATCACTATTTTCAATAGCAGTGTAGCTTAGAGGTTCAGCCTAGGGGCACAGGAGTCAGACAGACCAAAGTAGGATTCTTGGCTCTATCATCTGCGAGTTTTGCTTCCTTTGGCAAGTTAGTTGATCTCTCAAACACTCCATTTCCTCATTTATAAAATGGGTAAGCTAATATCATAAAGTTGTTATATAGATTATGTAAGTGCTTAATACCGTGCTAAGCCTAAAACATAGGAAGCTCAATTACTAGGGCTTATTATTACTACTCTTATCATTACTGACTAGTCAAAAGTGGATCAATGGATTCTGTTCAAAGGTAGTTCTCAGTCTGCCTAAGAACCTGCTCAGGTCCAGAGCTCTGAAATGTACTTCCTGGGATTCTGGTAAGTTTCCTGGGCTTGCTCCCTAATTTCACCTACAGTTCAAGGTCTATTTCATTTATGGAATCTATAATCTTAGGGGAGATTCCTTGTGATTAGCAACTGCCCTTTGGTGTTCACCTCTTTCTGCAAGCTTGCCTCCCTAATGCTGATTAATCAGTCAGGCATAGGAAAGCCTGGGCTGAAGGAGCAATGGTCTGTTAGCTGCATTAATAGGAAAGTTGCCCATGACATTTGACTAAGACTATATCTGAGTTTCCACTAGAGGGGAAGGAGATGGCAGTGCTTTGATTCAGACTTCTCTTGGGAGAAACAATGAAACTGCTTTACAATTAGAAATGAAGAAAAACTCACTTGCTTTGGCAATGTCCAAAATCAGACACTACTAAATCTGTGCCTAAAAAGTGTGTATCTGGATTTATAACACTAAAAAATAAAATATGGAGGCAGCAGGTAGAGAGGAAACACTGGTAGGCAAACTGCCTGAAATCAGAGTTCAAGATCAAGAGAAAATAAAATGTCTTTGGAGAACGTAAAGTAACCAGTTGTAGCATAAATCTTTGGTAAGTCAAAGAATATTTATTTTTATTTACTCACTGAGAAAATTACCCAGATTGCCAAAGGAAAACTAGAAAGAAATTATCCTGAGCAATTTTTATAATCATGTCCCCTTTTAAATGTCAATGACATTCTCTCAGAGTCATATAGGTTGACATCACAGTTTTATCATGGCCATGAGGAACCAATTCATTAGGAAAATGCCTAAAGCTATCTTTGTTATGTGGTCTCCAGAACATTGAATTTGTTTGGCTCTGAAAGGACAAGAGGAATATCATAAATTCATCTACTAACACAATCTTCTGTCTTACACAGCTGCATCTTGATCATGCTACCTTCTGTGCAGTGTGCTCTACCATAGGATACAAGTGTCTGACAGCACTCTGCAAAGTGCTCTGACGAGATCGGGCATGTTCAGGGTGGCATGGCCATAGACTGCAAAGTGCTCTGGAAGACAATTCCAATTGATTGAAAGGACAGATTTCCAAGTTTTAATGGTGTTTGGCTATTGGTTATTAATCTGCCTGTCGTAAGAGACAGGTATGGGAAGTGATTAATTCCTATTTGGCTGGATTGTTTTGGAAGTTGAAGAACTCAATGAAGTCTTAATAAAAGGTCATGTTTGGTAACAAAACTAATAGGATCTACCAAAATAGATATAAGAAAGCCACAGTACTCTCTCTCAGTGACAGGATGACAGGAATATATGCAAATAAAAGCATTGGTGCTGTTCTAAAACAGGAAATGAAAAATTGTAACAAAACAAAAACATTTCCCAGTGCACACATTCAGGCTCAGTGCCAACTCTTTAAAACCACTGTTAATGACAGTACAATCACTGTTCAATATGGAGGCAGCTGTGCAAAACAGACTGCAGATGAGAAGGAAAAATACCAGCAAGTTTGGGGTGGGAGGGGGTAAAAAACACAATCCTCAGTTAAGAAAAAAAGTTGCTTCAGAAGGTGAAACACCATCAACTTTGGTGAAATGGTAGACACTGGACAATCACAATCAAGTGTCCTAAAATGCTTCCCATCTCCAAGACAAATTCCCAACATGTTCATGTCAGATTCATGGGGGCCTTGGTACGTAAATGGGAAAAAAACCTGTTACTGACACATCCCATTTCTTTTACCTCCCAAATTTCCCTTAATGAGCATCTATTACTTTTTAAAACTGGAAAAGAACCACACATATCACTTTTATTTGGCCTTTCACAAGTGATTCAGGCATATACTATCTCTGTGTAGGGAGCGAGCCTCTCCTTGGTATGTCTGCACGGATGTGCTCAGGGAATTATCATGGGGAATGATGACCGTAATGTAACCCTTTCACAAAACCTCCAAAATGTTCCTCAGTGAACACCTAAGAAAGCAAGTTCTGTTTAGGGCAGAATGAGCTATCTGCAATGAATAGATTCTGCCACTTCCAGATCACCTATTTCTCTTTGGTTTTGTTCGTGAGGTCTCAGGGCTACCAAGACCACAGACCTGAAGTCCAGGCAAAAGGAATGTTTCAGAAGCTGAGGTCAGCTAGGCTTGCTTAACCCACTGCTCTTTCTGTTACAGGTATTTCATGTTACTTTGGGGAGAGGATGGCATTCCTTCACCAGTCCATTAGGAAACAGGATAGCAGCACAACATAGAATCAGTAACAGGGTCAGAAACTCAATTTTTTGGATATCAAAAAATTTTTAAAAGAATAAATATTTGTGATGGTTTAAAGATAAAGTCTACAATGCCATGAAAGAAAAAATTAAATATTCTATAATTTTCAGAGAAGAAGAATATGACAATTTATGGTGAACCTGAAACATTGCACAAAGAAGCTCTAGAAATCCTCACTGAAAATTTTTGCTCTTGGATTTCTCTGTGTGTATTGTATTCCCCCTCCCTTAAGCAGTTCAAATTTCGATAAGGGCCACTCTTCTAAATATTCATCGAAGAACAGCACTTACGTAGGCACCTTGACCGGATCATTCGAGTAATGACAGCACGAGCATAAGAACCATCCTAGAGAGTCTGCTTTCTGAAAATTAGTCTGAAGTGAATTTGGAAATAGGAAAGGAACCTGAAGAGGCCCTATGGCATTATTTCTAAAACTTTATGGTGCTGAAAGAGGTAGAGATCTTACCTCTTCTCACCATCAAAGCTCATGTTCTTTACCTGCAACTTTCACTTTTCAGAATATATTCAGTGGAGCTGGGCAGATTTTGTGTTGGAAAGTGAACAGTATCATATTAAATGACTTCATATTCACCATGACACAGGCAATTTTCTTCTGATAAAATTTCTTTTATAGAACTGACCTTTTGGATTCACCTTCTTTGAAATTTTGGATGGGGACAGCAATAATCTGCAGCTCTGTTGAAGGCCACAGCCCCTTCCTTACCTGTAATAACAATCTCTCATCGCCGATGACGGCAGCTTGGTTCCAATTAATCACTTCAGAGAATGGCAACTCCCATCCATTGCTGAGCATCACAGGAACACAGGCAGCCTGGGCAAAGAAAGGGACTTCGTGAGTGTAAGGAGAACGACAACAGGAGTCATTCCAATCAGGAGTGGAATCAGTACAAATTCGATTACTTGGGTCTCGGACTGCTCAGGCCAGAAAGAAACTAAGCTTTTAGGTATTCATCAAGACATATGAGATTGTATGCACCTAAACTAAGTTTTAAAATTTGCAAGTCTTGCCTTAGAATGCTAACACCCATTTCTATTCTAGTACATGGTTTGGGTGACCTTACTTCCATGGAGACAACTGCCCTTGTTGCAGAAGTTTTATTAATGTAACAAAAGCTTTCACCAACAAGATCCAAGCATAAAACCCACCTTGAATATAAATGGTTTTGACAAGGGAAGTGCCACAGGTCCACTTCCAAATTGGTTTACTCCAATGTCATGAACAATAAAAAGCAGAATTGAGCCCAGCCTTCCTATGTAGCACTTTGTGGACTGGACTTTTACAAGATGTCCACCTTTTCCTTGTTCTGCAAACACCTAACCCAGAACTTTGTTTTCTTTAGAGTGGAGTGATGCAAAGCACACTCATATGATTTGCCACCTGGATCTAATAGCCAATCCACACAAATAGGCTGATGAAAACATGTTAGTTCTAAATAATCCAGAATCCAAACTAGAGAAACATTTTCTCCATGCAACACCCCAGGAAGCTGCAAGAACTTAAGAGACAGCACGCTTCACAGCACACACATCCTGCCCTGGAAAAGACTTTCAGGAGAAGGAAGTTCTTCTGTCAGAGGACACGACAGAAGATTTGCAGCTAGAGTGACAGAGGCAGAAAGTGATAAAGTACTGCAGATTTAGAGAAGGTGTAGAGCTCAGAGGAGGAAGGGACACAGCAGGAAGATGATGGGGATGCAGGATGAGGGAGGTACAGTGCGCTTTCCTTGCAATCTAAGAAGGCTCTTGCTAATTCTAGGTAACATGGACAATGTCTCAGCAGGACGAGGCATTTTTGCAGTGAGGTTGATAAGCAGAGAGATTTCCATACAGGCTCCAGAGATGAAGCAGGACTTTTGAATTGCAGAGGTTTGGAATAAGGGGCCAAGTAAGTAGTGTCACCATCAGGGGAGGGACAACATTCTCAGAATATAGAGGAACCAAGTAACACAAGGCTAAGATGGAGATGAGAATTTGGGATTGGGGAATGCCAGCAATATACCATTTTTATTGCTCTTGAGATCAGCTTCCAGGGAAAGAGTAGGGTCCCTTTCAGGAGCCCAGCAGGCAAGATTGGTAATCAGACCTGCCTTCTATTTGCAATCATGTCCCTGATGGTGGCTACCTTCCCAGTGGCAAGACTATTTAACCTTCTCATGTCCAAAGGTGGTGGGTGAATCCTCCTCCAGCCCCTACCTAGTAAAAATGTTGCAAATTTTTTTGGGAAAAACTTCAGATCTTTCAGGGAAACTTTTCCTTCTGTTTAGCTATATCAGGAGAGGTACCACCCACTTTGACTTCAGTCCTCAGCCCTATTCTGGGAAGTTTCAAGTTCTCTTACCTGCAAAGCCTCCAGGAATCTGAAGGACCCAAGCCTGCGGCCACGAGGAACCAGACAGAAAGTGGCATTGTGCAGCATTTCTCGATAATCATACCTAGAAAGAGAGGAGGTGTAATCAATAAACAAAGACCCAGTAGGAAAGTGGGTAAGGTTGAGCACTGGGTATGTGAACACTTGCATAAATTTACCCAAAGCAACGCAGCAGGGTCCTGGGGAGGGAGGGCTCTTAAATTTCCCTTTTGGGGAAAGGGTTTTGTTGCATGAAGAGAACAAGTATGAACAGTTGTGTTGGACAAACAGTATATAAAAAAGACAAATCTGATAGTCCTAACAATTTGCCTTGCCTAGCCTTTGCTTCCAAAATCAGAGTTTTACATCTCATTAAAATAGGTTGCCCCATAGGTTTAAAAAAATCCCTGCTGTGTCATCTTCTCCTTCTCCTTTAAGGACAAGCCATTCAGTTAAACTGTTCTCTACCACCGAAACCATGCTATTAAAAACTGCTGGGGAAACCTCTATCATAAGGACAAAATGACATTTGTTTTGTTCTTCAGCTGGAGTTTCTACATTTAACCAAGAATATCCACTTACTCCAGTTAAATACTGATATATAAGAATAGCTGATAGGAATTCCAGTACAAAAAGGAGGTGAGAAAGAAGGAAGTTAGCTTGAAGAAGGGGGATAGAGGAATGATGAGAGAGGAAAAAAATAGTAAGGAGTAAGGGAAAGTAGAATGCAGAACAGATGATTATTTCTCTTACTCAAATACCACAGTGGTTTTGTATTTTGAAAAAATATAAAATATAATGTGTCACCTGCCTCTTTTTGTCAGTGAAGTTTAGGAAGGATAAAAAAAGCATTTAATTTTTTTAAGACTGTCACTTTAAAAGTGATTACCACAAACACATTCCTGAACACAAAGCTTCAAGTTCATTATGAGCTTAAGAAAACCTGGGAAACTAGAGATGGCTCATGTCCTATGAAGGCTCTGATTCTTACAGTCAAGGTAAAAATCACTCTCATTTTTTAAGAGCTTCCAATGCTGAGCAGACAGGTGTGACTTTGACAGTAGCATATGTCACCAGCATTTTTTGACTCTAATAGTCTAATTTAATCATAGCCTGAAGGCACTGGATTCTTCCTTCTTTTTTTGGGATACTGATATATACATTTATATTTTTAAAGTCCACATCTATTTTTATATTCTCATACAAACTAGGCATATGGGAGTAAGCCAATTTTCAATTATAAACCCGTCATTAAGAAGAGACGTCATGCAAGGACCATTTGCTTAAACAAGCATGCACACCTAATTTGCACAAGAAAAGGTCACTGTGAATAGATTAAGATTATCTCCAGTGAGAGTAAAATAAAAAACCCTTAGTGCTTTAATTAAACTGAAAAATAGACTTCAAAGTAGAAAAGATTTTTAAGAAGTCTCAAATTTAGCTAAATAAAAAATTTAATTATGATGGTAATGACTTCTCTTTTTTCACCAAACACAGAAAAATAGCTGACAAGTATCTTCAATTTCAAATGTTGATAATTTCTGAATCTTTAATAGATAGAAAAGAGGGAAGTGTGTATATATACACACATAAATTTATGTATAAAGTTTAAGTTGATTTTTTTTTAACACAGAAAGGTCGAATATACTTCAGACTACAGCAAGGTTTAATAGATGCCCAGAATAGAAACCCCTGAGGGACCAGCACAGAAAGTCCTACATCCTCATCATTAGGCTGCTAAAAATGTAAAACCCTAGTAGTGTTCTGGATTGTAACGAGTTTCAAAGTTGCCAGTTAAAGAATTTACTTTGGAGAATGGGTGGAAGTAGAAGGGCAGAAAACTTATAGGAAACATTCAGATGACATTTATAGGGTGCTGACTTTTAAATGGTAGTACAGAAGGGTTAGATGCTGATGTAGCAAATGAAGCAACACGATTGAAGCTCGTAGTCACTCACACAATGAGAGAGCCCTCTTGAGCGAGTTAGGAACCCGCTTGGTAGCTATGAGACTATGAGCAAACCATAGGCACTATCTTGGTCTCAGTTTCCTCATCTGCAAAAAAAGCCAGTTGGGCTAGATGACTAACAATCAAATGACTAACAATCAATGTTAACATTCCATTATTCTTCATGTCATCATTTTTAGGTAGGAAAGAGAAATTGAGATGATTCAACTTCTTGGAAGGTTCTGAGAACCACGATAAGTGTGCGTGTGTATGAATGCATGTCTACGCATATGTATATAATGTATCTCTAACATGTATGTATTCATGCAGACATAGAAGACATACAGAATGTACATGTAAAATTTAGAACAATGACTTTTGTTTAGATTTCTAAGCATGCTTACTTAGTTCGTGAACTTACCTCTCTTTTGGGTTCTACAGTCAGTGAGCCTATGACTCACTGGTGCATTCTAACTGAAGGGGAAATAATAGCCTCTAAGTGGGGTTGACCATGGTTCTATCTGAGCCATGTGCTAGGTACCTGCCCACTCAGTTGTTGTGAGGCTCTTTTCAATACCCAACTCATTCATTGATTCAGTCATTCTTTTAAGAAATACTTCAGATTACTGTCCCATTCCTATCAGATGCATCTCCAGTTGCTGGATCGACTAAAGAATCAATGGACAATTGATGAGATGAGGACTTAAGATGTAAAGTCTCCTAGTAGTATTTATGTCGCAAGAGGAAATCTTCTCTTATAGCCAGCCTTCCAGAACCTTACAGACACTCTTCCTCGGAAAACAATAATTTAACTAGTAAAAGTTAAAAAGAAAATTGATTTAAAGTCTTTCAAAACCGTCCTAAGGGTATAATGACAAAGAAAGAGGTGTTTATTCAAAAAAAAATCTGTGCAATCCTGGCAAGAACTATGTGGCACCTGATCTGTGACCTGCTCCATCCCACCCGTTACCAGTTCCACCCACAGTAGCTCGACTCTGGGCATCTCCATAACTCCTATCAAAAATGTGAAAAAGAAAACACACAAAAGAGATGAAAATATGTGCAAAATCAAATGTCTGATAAAGGACTTTCATTTATAATATGTAAAGAACTCTTCTGATTCAATGATAAAAATGATACCCTAATTTAAAAGTGGGCTAAGATTTCAGTTGACCTTTTTCCAAAGAAAACATATAAAATGCCAACAAAAAGCACATATAAAAGAAGCTCGACATAATTAGTCATTGAGGAAATGCAAATCAAAACCACAATGAGATGCCATTCTTCATCCACCAAGATAGCCATAATATGAAAGGATGATGAGAACAAGTGCTGACAGGAGGTGGAGAAATCAGAACTCAGTACATTTGCTCATTTGCAAACTAAAAGTGGACTTACCAAACGACCCAGCAATTATACTCTTGGGCATTTATCCCAAAGAACTGAAAATTACTTTCACATAGAAACTTGTCACAAATGTGCACAGCAGTGTAATCTGTAATAGTCCCAAACTAGAAACTGCCCAAATATTCTTCAATGCATGAATAATGCCATAAAAATTTGTGGTACACCCTTATCCTGGCATAGTTCTCAGGATAAAAAGGAAACAAACTATGGATGCACACACAGCCTTGAGAAAATCATGCTGAGTCAAAAAGCCAATTTCCAAAAGGGTACAGACTGCATTATTCCATTTACAAAACATTCATGAAATGACATAATTATAAGGATGGAGAACAGATTAGTGGTTACCATTGGTTAGGGGTTGGGAAGAAACACAGACTTGATAGGTCAAGTGGGAGGGTAAGCTTTTAAACTAGACCAATTCTCAATTACTTAAGCCTAGAAATGTAAATCTCATTATAATCATATGTTACTTAAAAGTAAGAGATAAACACATGCTATCTGAAGCAAGAAAGTTAAGTAGATGAGACAACTAATCTCAGAATTTTCAGCTTGAATTAATAAATGGTTTTGTTGCCCTTTTCAGATGGACATTTAGCTCCCCCATCCTATAGGTAATGACACAGAAGGTAGAGTTTTCCTAAGTGACTGCAAAGAAAAGTGTAATAAAAATGGCATGACCCTGAATTTAACCTACAAACAAGTACTACTCAATGGCCATAATAATTTTTTCCCTAAAGTTGCATTGAATAATGTATGGGATATACCCCATTTAAAATGGGCTGCGCAATAATGCATAATTGAAGTCTTTTCCTTCCACACGAAGCACATTTTGCTGGCACCAACCCAGTGCAAGCTGGGAAAGGGGTCAGAGTGGCACAGTGTCCCAAAGTGTTCTCCCAGCTACTAACATCGTTTGCATCACCTAGAAACGTGGTAGAAAGGCAAATTCCCAGCCTCACCCAGGTCTGCTGACTCAGAAACTCCACAGAAAGGGCCCAGGATTCTGTGTTTTAACAAGCCCTCAGGTAATTATGATGCATCCTAAATTTTGAGAAGAACAAGCATGGCAGTTAAGAGCTGGGTAATTAAGAGCTTAGTGGTTAAGCAGCTTTAGACACAGCCAAACCTGGGTTCGAATTCCAGTTTTGCCATTTACAAGCTGGATGATCTAGGGAAGTTACTTAATTTGTTTAATCTTAGTCTCCTGGTTGGCAAAAGAGGGATAATGCTTCTATTGTGAGGATTAAATAATACATCTTAAGTAAAGCACAGGCACATTGTAAGCAATTCCATAACTGGCAGCTATAATCATTCCAGCTGCAATGAGGCAGCAGATCATAAAGGAAAACACAGGCAATTTAAAGTTAGGAAACCTGGCTTAAGGGACTGGGTTTTGAATCTACCACTTTCCTGTGTGACCCCATGCAAATCACTTAACTTCTCTGAGCCCCAAAGTGGTGAAGATCAAACGATATTTTGCCCATGCAGTCTAATCAGTAAAGCACTATGCAATTGTAAGTGATTATGGTAAATTATATCAGAATGAGAGGAACAAACACTTTTTTCAAAAAACTATAACAATAAAAAAAAAA